GCACCGTCCCCCCGGTGCTTTTGCTGTGCTGAGCTTTGGGGAAAAAAGTACAGACCTTTCCCTAACAGGAGGAGCAAAAAAGCAGATTTCTTTCACCAAGGCATTTTTTTTTTGCCGGTGTATTATAAAGCAAACCAGTGGTGAGTCTAGAGCGAGCGCTTTCTTGGGCTATAAAATTTCCTATTATCCACTTATGCTTTCTTTGCAGTGGGATTTAAGAATGCCTCTTCCTTGAGACGAGTAATATGTCATCATTTTGTTGAACTAACAGGCCTGACAGTCCTGTCTCCCCCAGTTAGAGACAGCAGAGCTCTGTGCTCGCACTGCCGGGGAAAAAGAAGGTGAAAAAGCTGGGAGAAAAAAAAAAAAAAAAAAAAAGAAGGGTAAAATCTAACTATAACCTAAATTCTTCACTGATTCGTTCCCATCATTTATCGTGCTGCAAAAATAAACTCTTTAGATTAAAAAAGACCCTTAAATTAAAGTCTCTCTTACTTTCACTACATTTTGAAATAACTTATTTGAATCCTTGGATTATCTATTTTAACAAATATCATCTTCTGTATTCATCATTTCTCCCGTCCTTTTGATCTTTTTTTTTTTTTTCTACTTATCATGTTCTTTATTTGAAACAGATTTTTAACAGATAATCTTGATCGTTATAACAATATCTTGCTTGCATTTTATTCAAATAATTCTTAAAAACAGCTTAAAAAGCCGTTTGGAATAACATCAAGCTCTCCATCAATCAAATGAAAAAATTCCGCTGGCGGTTGTATAAACATCAGATCAACTCTGATGTCTTCAAGGATTTCAGAGTGAACCATAAAAAACTCCATTAACTTCTGACAAAGAATGCAAATTAATCACAACATGGGGTGAAATGAAATTAAAGGCTCTTTTCTAATCAATGACAAGGCAGGATGAAATATTTGGTCCTCTCCGCGTTCAGGCTGCCGGGATGCTCGCGCCTTTTTTTTTTTTATTATTTATTATTATTTTTTATTTTTTATTTTTTTTTATTCCAGGACCCTACAGCTATCTGCTTACAAGCAGCCCAGATTCACAAAACACACTAATCATCCGAATCTCAGGTGCATCCAATTTGTTATTCACACTCTCCCGGTGCCAGTGAAAAGCCTGGCGTAGACAGATGCACCAGGAACCTTAAATGACAGTTTTGGCCTCCGGAAGTGCGATCGCTACAGCAAAATCTAGTACAGCCTCCAGGTGAAATGTCTGGAGCTCCATATGGAGCAGGGAAAATTAACAACAAGATGAAAATCGCTCTAGCAGCGGGGAGCCGGAATTTAAAAAAAAAAAAAAAAAGAAAGAAAAAAGAAAAAAATAAAAAAAGGGGAAAAAAAAAATTTAAAGATGAGGAAAGAGAAGTAATAAATTAATGGGGTGTGAAAACATTCAAAGCTTTACAATACCAGGGGCAGTATTTGCTCAGATTTGGGGGGGGGAGCAGTGGGATGGGAGGGTGCAGAAGTTGGGGGGGGACAGGATTTTTTGGTGGATATATTTTTTTTTGTTAAAAAACCCCAAAACTTCAGGTCATTTTCATGTAATTTATTAAGTGAGGCCTGGAACTGTAGCCAAAGGAAGGAAAACATTTCTCTAAATGCAAAAGTGTCTTAAATACAGTCGTCATAATCTGCACTTTCCTGTAGCTGATTAAATCCTCGGCAGCTGAGTACTGCCTATTTCTTTGGAATATTTCCCTAATGGATGCGGTGTCCTTTTAACATCCTGCTTTGTATAAAGTTTGACTACAAGCCGAGAATATTTAGCGGGCAATTCTTTTCATTTCTCCTAAATTGCATTATCATTAAACAAGTCATTGCCCCCATCGCGTTTTTATACAATATAGTGAATTTGAATCTACGTGATTAACTGTACGTCTCGCAGTTTGTTCAGCCGCTGCACATCTTTGGGGTTCCATCTTCAAATTTAATTAAATATACCGGGAGGTGCCATGGCCTTTTGGTGTTACGTTTTGGGTTTTTTTTTTTTTTTTACAGTTCATTCTGCACAGACATGTAAAACCGTATCAAATTTGAATTTTTAAAAGGAATTTGAAACTTATTTTCCCTCTGCGCCTTCTTCGGACACCTAAAAAGCCAGACAGACTACGGGCAAACAACTGGGGTGGGTGAAAGGGGTTTCCTTTCATTTGTAAATGTTTACATAGGAAAGAATTTTATTCAAAATAGTCTGGTTTTTGCGTGTGCGTGTGCATGCACCATTCCTGTTAGTTTTAATAGAGTTATGTAAACGCATCAGGGGAAGACTATACCCTTCAGTGCTTATGTTTGTATCTATAGAAAATCCTACAAGCATCATACCCCGCCACTTCCAAAAGGAATTTTACACTACAGCAAGCAATACCACGCCAGGAAAGCGAACAACAAAACAATCAAAAACCATAACAGTTTCCAAAAATTTACTACATTTTAAGAATTAAGAGTTTCTTGTGCAAACTTTTTGTAGTGGAAAAGTCTGTTCTGATCATTTCTATTTGTGATTTCCTTGTTCAGATGGCTACAGTTGCTACAGATTCTGAAGTTAGCTGCATATCGAGACAAAAAAAAATTAAAGTAACTCTAAACACACCCACAAGAAACTTTACTTACATGAGCTGCTTAAGTGCTATCAAGACAAGACTATATTCTGAACATAAGACTAAATAACCACAGTGTGACAAATAGGAGCTAGCAAAAGAAACACTCATTAAAAATGTGGAAAATGAGGAGTAGCAAGTTCTATCATCAAAATATTCTACGGAAGGCCAGAAAAAAAAAAATAAAAATCATTCTTTAGTTTTACTGGCATATTGCAAGAGTCCTGAATTTCCACACTGCAATGATTCCCCCTATAAATCTTATTCATTTAAACTGAATTTACACACACCATTTGTCTGTGTCTTAAAGATAGAGAAAAAGGAAAAAAACATATTTTTTTTTTTTCCCCCGCTACAGCTGGAGACAAACACTCATTTGCAGGAAATTTCAGGTGTTCTCAAACATGTATTCATACTTTCCATTTTTAGAGAGAAGTAACTTCAAGTTGTTTAGGGACAAATTCTGCAAACACACATACGATTAGCTTCAATCACTGGAATCAGCCCACTGAAGTGAGGAGGATTTACTCAAGTGAGTGACTCCAGGAGCAGACCCTTGCGTTGGGAGATAAATAGATATTTAGACACTTAAAAAAACCAACCTACTAATTATCCCCCAACTCAGAGTGGGTTTCTAAGGGTTCTTGTGACCAGCTATGTAAGTACATGGCTAAAATAGATATTCTTCACATAAAAATCCTTATCAAAAGCAGTTGCTTGAAAAGCTTAATAGCTACATTTTAAAGTTTCACCTCCTCAACTATTTTACATTAAAAAATATATACAATTTCATGGACTGCTGACTTGCCAAACATTCTTTTACAAACCCGATCAGTTTTTTAATTAGAATAGCAAAAAAAAGCATCTTAAACTAGCAATCACGTTTTGCTCCCAATTCAGAAAACAAATTTTTGTCTAGAGTCATACATGAAGTACGTGCTCAAACTTCCTTCCCCAAGCTCCAACACTTCTGCAAACAGAGAGTTATCTTAAATCCTACCCTATGTCACCTTTGATTTAGTGCTATAATACAGTGTCTACAATGAACATCAACACGCTCAACGAGCACCAGCACCAACGCCAACGCGTGGAGGACACTTCAACACAAGAGCTTCTTTTTCAGTTCTCTCTCAAAGGAGAGGGTACATCTTAAAATATGGATAAAATAAACAAAATATGTTCTGGTAACCGGCTACAGCTCTTCCAGTCAGTAAACATTTTCCATAGGAGATGAGAAAGCGAAAAAAAAATCAGTGTATTTCTACATACGCAAAATCTTTGCAAGTCCATAAAAGTGTCAGGAGAATTTGCTTAAAACAGCTTATGAAAATGGGAGAGAGAATGAGTCCCAGCCTATTATTCAATAACCATGTTTGTGAGGCATCTGCATAATCTAACCATGCATAAATTAGTATGTGTATTACAACAGTTATTTGCATAATAATAGCAAGTTAATAGATGCTTAAAGAGCACAGACCAACACCACCTTTAAATCAGACATGCCTCCAGGCACTCTGATCTGTATAGACCAAGATGCAGAAAACACTGTTCATAAAACATAACAAAAACATAAAAATCACATTCAAATAATTCATTTTAGTCCCTGGACGCTTCACTTTTTCCCCTCTCCCAGGAAAAAATAATTTGAGGAACTACAGAACAGTTTGTTACTGTGAATTCTAACATCCATCTTGCGATAGGAATTGAGAGTAATCATCAAACCTATTTCTGGATTGGTTGTTTTGTTCAGAGCTTCACGTTTTTTCAAGCACACAGACAAAGTAAAATATGACGTGGTAACGCAGGGCCCAGCACTGGCGTAACCACTGACACCAAAGATGGAAATAGTTTCACCACCAACTTTGGTGAAACTGAGTTAGGTCAGTGGAAAGTTAGAAAATGCCAGCATCTAAATAAAATACTAATATTAGGTCGTCTTAAAAGGGAGAATCCAGAGCTCCCTTAAGTATTCCACTCACATTATATTTTTGATTTGAGAAGATTTTAGACCATTGTACCATTATTCAAAATTGAAATAAAAAATGAAAATATGAAAAAGAAGTAGATACACCTTCCTGCTTCAGAAGCACTGGTGTACATACTGGCTTATTTTTAAATCTCACAACAAAACAATCATTAACATCATCGTAATTTTCATTGTCTCCAGGGAAAGAAAATCTAGAGTTTGGAGAACAAAAAAGAGGAAAAAAAAAAAATCAATAGAGACTTCTAAATGACTCCTTCAAGATACCACTTTTCAATTTAACAGGACAGATTTATTTGTATGTGGCTCAAATGTTCACAATTGCTCTCTGCACCTTCATACATAGGAATGAATGTCACAGTGGCAAACAGCAGTAATGAACAATCTTACCTGAGGATATGGAAACCTCCCAAGAGCAAGCTGGGAAAGGAAATAATATTTGTCTAGTTATATAGATTTGCATGGAGGGCACATTTTCTTAAAGAGAGAAAAGTACTCAACTCTTACTATTGTATAAATTGGAAAATGTTAGCAAAAGTAATTTTGAAAACACACAAAGAGCTGTATTTAGAATGGAGTCATTCACAACAATTACCCCTTGTTTCTGAATATTTCTGTATTCCTCAAGCTCTTTTGTCTGTACCACCCAGTAACACTGTTTGATACCCAACTTCCTGAGGACTCTCTAAATTAAACCAGTTCAGCCTCAATAGCGAGGCCAACGACACTGACCTTTACTGATAATTATCTGCACTGAACAGGTATTGCAGAGCATGCACTGAACTCCCAAAGTCCTTCCGTAACTGGCTCAGAGTGAAATCTGGGTTATATGGCTGAGATTTGTTTCTCTATCGGTGTCAAACCCAGTGAGGAACCTGTGAGAGGGGCATCTGGAGAGAGATCATCGCACCTGCAAAACGATGCTTCCGTCTTCTTCAAATCTACTTTCAATTGCACATGATATAAACTGGATTTGCTCCCCACACTCTTTTATAAGTAATATACTTGATGCGTTACTGGAATATCTGCTACTATCAGCATTAGACCCAACAATGACATTATTGTTGCCACAATGCTATAGGTAATAAATATTCCATGCTAAATTCTTCGTACAAGCCTTTAGATTTTCCCATTTGGTATCTGAACCTTAGAAACGATTTCAGCAAAATACAACTAGTTTAAATTACTTTGTCTACTATTCAGTGAGGGACAAGGGTTTTTAGAGTCGACACAGCCTCCTCCAAAAGGGTGTTCAGAGCAGCAAGAACATGGTATCAGCATTAGACCCAACAATGACATTATTGTTGCCACAATGCTATAGGTAATAAATATTCCATGCTAAATTCTTCGTACAAGCCTTTAGATTTTCCCATTTGGTATCTGAACCTTAGAAACGATTTCAGCAAAATACAACTAGTTTAAATTACTTTGTCTACTATTCAGTGAGGGACAAGGGTTTTTAGAGTCGACACAGCCTCCTCCGAAAGGGTGTTCAGGGCAGCAAGAACATGGTCCAGAGAGGACCCATGCTGAGATGAGCTTTGTGAATCCTTCCCTTAGCAACCTTCAGAAGGAGGTCTACCAAAAACGTTATGGATGCCCTACTATCATTGATTTATCTGCATGATAAACTAAGTATGGTCACATCAGACTGAGCAACAGCATCAACGCTGAAGGTCTAAGCCATCATGTCACGTCCTGCAAAGGCTAAACCACACGTCAGTGCTGGGCGAAAGCTGTTTCATGGCACAGCTATTGCCACCGATACCTGAGCTCCTTAGTGCCATGGTTACTTGACCTGGCCAGATTGCAGCTGAGGCTACGTGCTGACCTACGATGAAATTTCAGCCTGGCTGGCAGCACAAAACTCTCCCAAGTATGAACAATAAGGCACAGACAGAGCCATAGCAAGGTGAGGAACTGATGGGGCAAAGACCAGTCGACATACTCAAGCCTCACCAGTTCAGGAAAAAGGTCCTGGTACCATACTAGCCATTTGGCCGGGAGCCTTCACAAACACAGTAACCTCCCTTCAGATCCTCAGAGGAAAGACCCTACAAAGCATTTGTGTAAGAGAGGCGTGCAAGAGAAACCCAAAAAAAGGAATTTTTTTGGTGACTACTCTTAAAAGAAGTTCTGCAACAGTGAGATAGTATTTGTCCTGAAAATCTACAGATGTAGTGAGTGGGTTCTAAAAGAGCTACTCTGTTTGGACCCTGAATTCTTACTGCACAGACACATCACAACTACAGGAACCGCACAGCTAGATTTCCATCCATCACTGAAAAATCACCCCAATCATTCCTAAACATCTCATCAGTGGGAGTTTGCATAATGACTGAGGAGGAGCCTTTATGGTCTGCTCCATCAGCACGATGTTGGCCAAGGACCCCTAACAGCAGTAAGCAACCAGGCTTACAAGAGACATCGAAATAGGGAACAACATGAAGATGACAAGTGAGATCTCTTCAAGTTCTCCAAAGTGATACAACTTAAGCTAGATTCCTCCTCTGGGTTTCTTCTGTGCTTTGCCTTCCAGGTTTGCCTTTAAGACTCAAGTTTTTGGGGTGAATTCTGCCTTTCAGCTTTGTTTTTGGTGCAGCATTGAGCGCAGTGTTGCGCTTTGCAGTGAATTCATCCTCGTACCAAACCAACCTGAGCTAGGCAGGCTTGATCACCATCCTTTCTATCAATTGCATCTGGTTCACAGCTTCTTCCAGCTCAGAGTGTCAACTCCCGTCACACTCTGATGACAGGCCCTCAAATACACTGCTAAATGGTTATGCAAAGACCCTATCTTTTCTGTTATGCTCAGTCTTAAGGACCAGGAGCTACTAAAACACCCCTTTTCATCTTCTCTTCTTTTGGGAGGTCCATCCTTAACTGCCAAGAAACGTGCCTTCAGATCCTAGGAGGCACCGCTGTTGTGAGAGCCTATAAATGCCTAGAAATACACCTATAAATGCCAAACCCTTTTCTAAGAACAGAAGTAGAAGAAATCCTGATTTTTCCAATGACTACTGACTTAAGAACAGTCATTACAACAGCTACGGACTTGTAGGAATGCAGTATTCATCCCACTGCAGAACAGTAAGATAATTATGCACAGGGCATCATTCTGCAGTTCTTATTTAAGCAGAAAAACGGCTGCTTCAATGATGACTTCAGACTAAGCATTTCCATTCTCAGGGATGGTTCCTCTCCCTGACCACCCCACACCTCGGTGGGGGCTCCAAAGGCAGCAGAATAATTGGGGAAAGACCAGTTTTCTGCCAGACGTAAGTACGGGGTATATAAATGAGATTTGAAGAATATGAAATGCATCAGGAACAAGTTGTTAAAAGGGTTGTTAAAAAAGAAATGCATTTCTGGGTGAAGCTGCTCCTTGACTGAGAACTGCAAGGCAATACAGGGGCAGACAGATGATGTGCCAGTTCTGCATCCCCCCGAACCATCACTCGATTCATCTACTCAGAGTTGTTTCCTCCCTCCAACATTGTCAAGGTATTATAAATTAAGAAACTTACCAAAGAGTATGTAATCTTCCCTGAAATAGCCTGCAGATATGTCACTGTACTAAATGTGTTTCAGATTTAATGAAGCTTTAATGTCCTTTTTAATTTTGCCTGTTTCTATATCACCAGGGGTCGAGCAAGGCAATCAGCACTCAAGAGGGTGGTTTGGTTTAAAACTAGGAAAAACTCATTTGCTTATGAGTTGCACTGTATTTTCTTAATTAAATTTACTAAGTAAAATGGTTTAAGTTCAGCCAACCAGTGACCTCTGTGTGTAGATTTAGATTTACAAATAGCGTCACAGTTAAAGTAAAGAAAAAAACAACCAAAAAACAAACAGATTAGAGCTTCACTAAAGGGATTTTCATACTCACTGTCATCTGTCTCAAGGAAGTCATTTAAACATATGCAGCACAAGCCCAATGCAGGATGCAAAAAAATGTAAATTACCAAACTAATACACTATCAAGAACTTAATCTCCTCTGCACTTACACAACAAAACTCAGGAACTTGTAATTTTGTTTTTAAGGCATTATAACAAAAATACTGTATTCACACTAGTTAGGTTTGGGAACTGAGCAGTATTTTACGTAGCTCTAGATATTAAGGAGGGGAGAAGGGAATGCTTAAATTTCAAGGAGCTGGTTCTCATTTCCCTATGCATGCCTTCGGACTACATAAGAACTGTAAAAACCATCATTTTAGAAAGACCCAGTGAATTGCACTGCCAGGATGGTATGGAAATATAAATGAGAATTAGACCATATCAGCAAAAAGTTATATCAGAAGAACACTTTCCTCCACCATTTCACTTCAGAGCAACTAAACAACTGCGTAGGGGTGGGTTTTTTTGGGGTGGCAGTGCATGTGTTGTTTTTTAAAAAACTATTACTTTCTTAGACATAGAAATAGCCCATCAGAACACTTCAAACGCTCATCTTTTGGTGTTCAGTGAGGTTGTGTCCTGAAAAATGAAGTGGACTTCCAAGAGCAAGGACCCGACAAGGAGCCTTCTCCCAGACTGGGACGGAGGAGCAGATGGATGTATGGGGTGGTTTTAAACCAGTACTTGATAAAGTGAGAAATAATCCCAGATTATTAAATAACAGGTAGAGGTACAGCATGCATGGATGCTGATTTTTATCAAACTCTATCTAAAAAATACATAAGGGAAAGCAAAAAGAAGAAGGCAGTCAGTTTTGGTAGAGGGAGGTGCCCAAACCCCCTGCACTGAGCAGCCATAGGAGGGCTGGAAAACAGCTCTAACCTGCACTCAAATACATGCATTTAATGTGCAGATAAGGGAACACAGAATTAAAATGACTTGTTGAAATAATGTAATTAACAATTTTGGAACTGAGAAATGGAAATCCAGAAATCCTCACTAACAAACTGCCTTCTCTATAGCTCTCTGCTTGCCTGGCCTGTTATTACCTTAGGTTGGGAATAAGAATTGCAACAGAGACTCGATCCGTGTCCTGTTCAGAAAGTGACTGAGGGAAGGAAGTTCAAAACATATTTTTAGGACACTCAGGCAATAAAGTCTCCCACTTCGATTATTGTCTATGTTGTGCAAGTTGTTTTTTAATTTACAGTTATACTGAGAAGCATGGGATGTTTTTATTCTTAATTTAGACACATTCCATGTTTCTCAGCATAACTGCAAATTGAAAATAAGCACTTACAATATCACTAGTGATCTAGCTGAAGGAGGACTTTATAGTCTGAAATGTTCTAAAATTTGTTCTTAATTACTTTGCGCACATTTTACACAATTAAATTTCCATCTAAGGATTTTGCATTTAGATTGTGCACTGCAGTTAAACCCTCATTTTATGGAAAAGCAGCCGCCACTTCGGAACATTCAGACACAAGAAACTTTAAAAATCAGACTTAACTACTGG